TGAATAAAGCTAGTGGAGGTGATGGAATTCCAGTTGAGCTATTTCAAATCCTAAAAGATGATGCTGTGAAAGTGCTGCACTCAATATGCCAGCAAATTTGGGAAAGTCGGCAGTGGCCACAGGACTGGAAAAGATCAGTTTTCAATCCCAAAGAAAGGCAATGCCAAAGAATGCTCAAACTACCGCACAATTGCACTCATCTCACACATTAGCAAAGTAATGCTCAAAATTCTCCAAGCCAGGTTTCAACAATACATGAACCGTGAATTTCCAGATGTTCAAGCTGGATTTAGAAAAGGCAGAGGAACCAGAGATCAAATTGCCAACATCCGTTGGATCATAGGAAAAGCAGCAGAGTTCCAGAAAAACATCTTCTTCTGCTTTATTGATTATGCCAAAGCCATTGACTGTGTGGATCACAACAAACTGTGAAAATTCTTCAAGAGATGGGAATACCAGACCACCTTACCTGCTTCCTGAGAAACCTGTATGCAGGTCAAGAAGCAGCAGTTAGATCCAGATATGGAACAACGGCTGGTTCCAAATAGGAAAAGGAGTACGTGAAGGCTGTATATTGTCACCCTGCTTATTTAACGTATGCAGAGTACATCATGTGAAATGCCAGGCTGGATGAAGCACAAGCTGGAATCAAGATTGCCAGGAGAAATATCAACAACCTCACATATGCAGATGATACCACCCTTATGGCAGAAAGCAAAGAAGAACTAAAGAGCCTCTTGATGAAAGGGAAGGAAGAGAGAGTGAAAAAACTGGCTCTAAACTCAACACTCAGAAAACTAAGATCATGGCATCCGGTCCCATCACTTCATGGCGAATAGATGGGGAAACAATGAAAACAGTGAGAGACTTTATTTTGGGGGCTCCAAAATCACTACAGATGGTGATTGCAGCCATGAAATTAAAAGATGCTTGCTCCTTGGAAGAAAAGCTATGACCAACCTAGACAAAGTATTAAAAAGCAGAGAGACATTACTCTGCTGATAAAGGTCTGTGTAGCCAAAGCTATGGTTCTTCCAGTAGTCATGTATGGATGTGAGAGTTGGGCCATAAAGAAAGCTGAGCACTGAAGAATTGATGCTTTTGAACTGTGGTGTTGGAGAAGACTCTTGAGAGTCCCTTGGACTGCAAGGAGATCCAACCAGTGCATCCTAAAGGAAATCAGTCCTGAATATTCATTGGAAAGACTGATGCTGAAGCTGAAGCTCCAATACTTTGGCCACCTGATGTGAAGAACCGACTCATTGGAAAAGACCCTGATGCTGGGAAAGATTGAAGGCAGGAGAAGGGGATGAGAGAGGATGAGGTGGTTGGATGGCATCACTGACTTGATGGACATGAGTTTGAGCAAGCTCCGGAAGTGAGTGATGGACAGGGAAGCCTGTCGTGCTGCAGTCCATGGGGTCACAAAGAGTCTGCCATGACTGAGCTACTGGACTGAAACAGGTTTATTTGGGGGAATACAGAAGAAAATATATGTAAGGTATTTATTTACAGTGGTGCCCACATAAGTAGGTGCTCCAGAAGCAATAACTTTTCTTATTACTACTCAAACCTGCTTATTTTATGGAAAAAGAGACTGGAATCCAGAAAAGGGGGAAGGGCTTGGCTTAGGTGACACAGTCATTTAGTGATAACCCGCCTGGGACTCTGCATTTAACCACTTGCAACAACTGAATTGCACAAGGTACCAGAGGATGCAAACATTAACTGCAAATGAGGAAAAGGGTTAAGCTTTTCTTTGTCACAGTGGTGTTGAACTCAGGGTAGAGAGGTCAACACCAGACTATCCCAGGGAACATAGTTTGAAAAAGCAGATTTCATATTCCATGTTTTAAAATGAAATCTTGGAAAAAAAAATCTAGTGTTTCCAGGTTCCTATCTACATTAAGCCAAGTGAGAGGAAATCCTCTCTACTGGTGGAGATGACTTAAAAAGGGTTAAGAAAGCCTGCTGTCCACTCTTGAGGAGGGAGGAGGAGAGACAAATTGACCCCTGGGGACTCCTCAGGTTTCCTGCTGGAATGTAACAGCCAAGTCCCCACCTTCCTGCAGGGGCATGGAATCTGCTGACCTGATCTGAGTTAGGCTCCCCTCCCACCCTCAATGCTCAGCCCAGGACAGCATCCCAGCTTAGGCTGGGTCTGTGCCAGCCGTGGAGAAGGAGAGAGTTAGTTCCTCACCCCCACCAGCCTCCGCATTGATGGCAACCTGGGTGGGAGCACTGAGAGCAATGGGACCAGTTCTTGATTTTCTGCCCTCTTCTCGTGTTGCAATTCGTCACAATTCCCTAGACACCCGCTGGGTCTTTTCTTCCAGACACTCATCATTGAGCATCTAATTTCCACAGCCCTTTTGCGCTGGCAGGCATCCGGATGGTCATTTTCCCTGTTGCCCTGCCCTGCCCAGCCCGCCCAGCCTCCCTTTCTCCAGCTGCACAAACAGGGTGGGCCCCTCCCTCTGCTTACTGCTCCTGAGGGCTCTGTGTGAGCCTCTGCTGGGCACTCCAGGGAGTCCTAGAAGCTGCCCGTGCCCTGCTCTCAGAGAAGTCTTAGGATCAGGGAGTCAGGGGCCAGCTCTGGGTGCTGGGGAGTCAGGGCCTACCACGTCTCAGGCCATTCAGCAAAGAGCTCATGGAACAGGAGAAAGGGTCTGAAAGTGGGGTGTACAGGGATGATTTATTAGGCATGAACAAAGACGGGCTAAAATGTAGCTTGAGCCTCAGCGCCCTAGGGAAGGCGAGTTAGGGGGAGGAGCCACCCTGGTTTCCCAGCTCAGCGGTGCTGGCCCCTTTACAGTGGAGCTGCGCCCCACTTTGGGCGGGGAGGCAGATGTTGTGTGCCATTGCTCGGCCAAGTCTGCCACCTCCTATGGCAGAGGCCCCCCACCTCGCCAGATTTTTCTGGGGACCCAAATACTTCTGGTGCTCTTAGGGAGGGAAAGAAAGGGCCTCTTTTGAGAGAGTGTTTGCTGCTAATAGGTATAGCAGATCCTGGCTGGAAATGTGATCTGTGTAAGGAACATTTCCCTGCACCCCGGCACTCAACCGCATTAGTCAGACCTGGCTATGAAATCGGGCTGGGGGGCCGGGTAGCCAGACTGAGTTGAATGTTCTCCTTGTTTTCCCTCTCTGTCTCACCAATCTCTCCACACAGAGAGCGCTCAGCAGAGACAGATTTTTTTTCTTAATTTATTAGTTTTTAATTGAAGGATAATTACAATGCTGTGTTAGTTTCTGCCCTACATCAACATGGATCGGCCATAAGTATACATATGTCCCCTCCCTCTTGAGCCTCTCTCCCACCTCCCACACCATCCCACCCCTCTAGGTTGTCACAGAGTCCTGGTTTGAGTTCCCTGAGTCAAATAGCAAATTACCACTGGCTATCTGTTTTACATATATTGGTGTATATGTTTCCATGCTACCCTCTGCATTCATCCTACCCTCCCCTTCCTGCCACTACCTACCCCCACCCCCCACCGTGTCCATAAGTCTGTTCCCTGTCTGCAAGAGACAGATATTTTTAAGAGCACCTCCTGCATTCATAGCTCATTATTCGGGATGAAAGAGGTTTGCAAGATGCAAAGCTAGACACACCCAGAGGGTGGAGGAGAGATGGACCATTTATGGGTTATGGGTCGAGCAGCTATAACCCCAGCCCTGGACTGCCCTGGAGATAGTGCTGTCGGTCACAAAGAGGGACTTGCCAGGCCACGATTTGCCCAGGGCAAACTCACTCCCCCCTGCTCCCCACCAGGAAAACCTGTCAATTCTTTTTTTTTTTTTTCACAATGAAATATTTTTTTTCATTGATTTTTATTAGTTGAAGGCTAATTACTTTACAATATTGTAGTGGTTTTTGCCATACATGGACATGAATCAGCCATGGATTTACATGTGTTCCCCATCCCGATCCCCACTCCCGCCTCCCTCCCCATCCCATCCCTCTGGGTCTTCCCAGTGCACCAGCCCTGAGCACTTGTCTCATGCATCCAACCTGGGCTGGTGGTCTGTTTCACCCTTGATAGTATACTTGTTTCAATTCTTCTACCTCAAGGGATGGGAGTGGGGAAGGGGAGCAGAGGGGTGATGAGAGCAGGGCAGCCCAGGTCTCCAAAGTGCAGTCCTTGGCTCCTGGCAGTGGCTGAATATACGTTGCGGCTCTCAGCTCTCAGGAATAACCTCCAAGAACCTTCACCAGTCCCCACAGCCCTGCCCCCACTCCTTAGTGTGAAAGCCAAGACTTTGAAATTCCAGTGGTTGAATTTATTAGTATCCTGCAGCCTGTTAGTTAAACAAACAAATGACTGGCTTGTTTGAAATCTAAAGGGAAGGATAATTTGTGGCCTGCTGAATTCCCTCCCCATTAGCTAAAAATGGTCTCCCCACTGGGATGTGCATCCCCTGCTGTCTGGGGCTGGCAGGGAATGTGGGGGAGCATGTTGAGAGGAGAGGATATTTATTTGAGGAGGGACTTTTGTCCCTTCTTTTAAATTTGAAGATAGCCCTTAAATTTTTCTTATGAAAGCTATACAAGTTCCTTGTAGAAAACTGGGACAATAGAGAAAAGCATAAAGAAGGAAGTGAAAACCACACAACCCCACCACCCAGACATGACTGTTTGGTAAGAGTACACTGTATGCCCTTCCAGTCTTTTCCTTAGGCATGACTTTGCCTCTCCATCACCTCCTTTTAACACGGTTTCTTTTTCTGAGTGTAAAAACGATGCACACTCAATTTTCAAATAGTACAAAAATATGAAGACTAAAAGGAAAATTACCCCCATTCCACTATCCTGAGATGACTACTGCTAATACGTTGCTGCAGTTCCTTAGACTCCTTTTCACTTAACTGAGATCACCTAGTCCATCTAGTTCTAGGCACTCTTCACTTAGTGTCTTACTGTGTATATTCTCCCATGTCAGTGAATATACATCCAAAATATGCGTGAATGCATCACAATTCATTCTTTCATTTTTCAGGAGAGACAGGTTTGGGCAAGTCCACCCTCATGGACACCCTGTTCAACACCAAGTTCGAGGGGGAGCCAGCCACCCACACACAGCCGGGTGTCCAGCTCCGGTCCAATACCTATGACCTTCAAGAGAGCAACGTGGGGCTAAAGCTGACAATTGTTAGCACGGTGGGCTTCGGGGACCAGATCAACAAGGAGGACAGGTAAGGGAGGCAGTGGGGTGGGGAGGCTGGTGGGAAGCCCACGGGGAGGAGCTCACCACCGGGTTCTTGCCAGACCTCTTGTCAGCTGATGCAGGCTGTTGGCAGAGAGCTCACTAGCGCCGCCTTCCGCCGGGGTTCCTGTCTATTTCAGTGCTCTACTCCACATGCTCTGCTGAAAGGAGGATGTCTTTCTCCTTCATTCAGCAAACATTTACTGAGTTCCTACCTTGTGCCAGGTACTGCCATGCTCTAACAATCTAAAGAGGAATGACTTTGTCTCTGACCTCGAGGCAGTCACGGGGAAGCCTGGTCTTAAATCAACAAGTTCCTTTGAGGTGACCTCCTCTGTAAAGGACAGGGTATGGTATTACAATGAAAACGGGAAGGAGAGAACAGTCAGCTCTCAGGGCGGGGTGTGGGGTGGGGAAGGGGGTGGGGGGAGGGGTGTTCAGGGAGGCCTGCACAGAAGAGGTGTGCCTGACCTGGCCTTTGAAGGGTGAACGATTTTGCTGGACAGACAAGGGAAGTTTGGAAAGGGCATTCCAGGGAGGGACAACAGGTTGTATGAAAAGAAGGGCTGTGGAAGACCATGGCATGCTCTAGGGGACTGCACTTGTTCTGTTCTGCTAGACCAGGGGTGGAGCTAGTGAAGGTTGTTTCAGGACCCTCACTTGCCCACGTCCCTCCAAAGCCCTCAAACTAATTTCTAGTCATTGTGTTGTTTGCTCTTTCTTGGAGCGCCCTTCAAATCATATAAGCTTAGGTCCCTGTGATAGCCACTCTGTCCCTGGGCTGGTGCTTGGCATGAGCTGGGGGAAAAGTGAGGGGAGATGAGCCTGAAGAGGTAAGAAGGGGCCGGATGATGGAAGGGTTAATAGAATATGTGGATATGGGGCCACTAAAAAGCTCTACAAAGTAGAATGATGTGGTTGGATTGGCCTTTGAAGAAGGGGCTTTGGGATAGTATGGACATGGGCTGGAGAGCAAGAAGACCAACTAGGAGACTGTTGGACCAATTCGATGGAGGCTGGTGGTAAAACAGGGAAGAGGAGACAGATGGGGTAACTGTTGAGTAGGTAAACTCAAGAGGACTTGGTAGAGGCTTGGTGTTGAGGTTGGGAAGGCAAAAGAAGAACCTAGAATAAGACTGAGATTTCTGGCTTTGGAGAGTGGACAGATGGTGGGGGCATTCAGTAAGAGGGACTCAAATAGAACCAGGTTTAAAAAGAACTAGCTCTGTTTTGGATACGGTGAGCTTGAGATGCCTGCGGCCTGTTGAGAGAGGAGGCGCCCTTCATTGGTTGGCAGCTGAATGTGCAGGCTTTCGAGGTGAGGAAAGGGTCTGTGCTGGCAAAAGACTTAGGTTATCAAGGTAGAGGGACTGTGTTCCAGCCACAGACGTGTGTAAGATCATCCAGGGAGTGGAGTTGAGCGAGGTGAACACTGTGCTAAAAACAAAAGCCTGGGGATGTTAAGTCAGCAGATGGAGGAAAAGACATCCTGGAAAGAGACTGAGTTGGAATAAGCAAAGAGGTGGGAGGAGAGACCGTGGGCGGTTGAAAATGGTGTGCCAGGGAGGGCTGGAGCGAGGCTCAGATGAGGACAGGATGAGGGCTGGGCTGAGGTGGGGAGGGGTCAGACACCATCTGTATTTAACTAAAAATCACATGTAATCCCACATGCTCTTCGCAGAAAAGGTCATTCATCATTTTGAGCAAAGTGTCTGCTCATCCTTTGAGAATCCCCTTGCTTCTTAGCAAATTTGTATCCCCAATTTTTCTATTTCTCCTTTAAAATAACAACAGCCACACTCATTTCCTTATAATGAATAGATATATTTAGCTCCTTAAGATGTGAACTGAATTCTGTTTTCCATTTGAAATTCTAGATGAAGGACACCTCTGCTTTTTATAGGCTTGCTTATTGTGCTAATCTTGTTCGGGGGAGAATAAATTAAACCCTGGGGGAAAGGGGATATTTGGGTCACAATATGAGTGATTAATCTCAGCTGCAGATTGCTCAGCATCTCCTCAATTAAATATCTTACAGTTCTCAGTAACATACGTTCGATACGCCTAACATTGGAAAATGTCTGGATGATGATGGTTTGGGAGGGCTGAACTGATAGAACCCCTTAGAGGCTAATCTGCTTCTTTTATATTTTTAGTATGCTTACTGTTTTTCCTAATTATAAGTATGATACATGCTTATATCAAATAACACAAACTCGAATAAGTAGAAATGAGAAGCCTCCGGGAAATGGGCTGGGGAACAATAGAAGAGTGAGTTCCAGGGATTTGTACCAAAAAGCCATGTTTTCTCCATTCTGACAAGGCCAGGAGGGCATAGATAGGTCAGTGCAGCTGCACTAGAACAGAGCATCAGAAAGCCCTGCTTTGCCCAGGATGCAGAGGTAAACTGAGAAGAGCCGGGACGAAGGCTAGAGCCTGGGGAAAGCCACTATTTTTTAAGAAAAAGAACCATAAACTGGACTTCATTAAAATTAAAAAGACTCACACTATTAAGGAATTGAAAAGACATGTCACAGACAGGGAGAAAACATTTGCAAATCGTATGTCTTATAAAGGACTTGTAACCAGAGTATTTTAAGAAAGCTTGCTTTTCCCAAATAGGACAACAACCCAATTAAATAAGTGAGCAAAAGATCTGAATACACATTTCACCAAAGAATATACATGCATGATTCATAAAAACATCAAAAGATGCTCAACATCATTAGCCATTCAAGAAATGCAAATGAAAGCCACAACGAGTTATCACTTCACACCCACTAGAATGGCTATAACCAAAAAACAGAAAACAGCAAGTATTGGTGAGGATGTGGAGAAATCAGAACCCTCATGACACTGCTGGCGGGAAGGTAAATGGTACAGGCACTTCGGAAAAGTGTGTGGGAGTCTCTTCAGAAGTTAAACACAAGCTTGTCATAAAAGCCAGCAATAGCATGCCTAAATATATACCCACGGGAAATGGAAATGGGAAGGCCACCATTTGAAAGATGCTGGAGCAAAAGGAGCTGGAGGGGGAGACAGAGCACAGGCTGGAAAAAGGGGTGTGCTTAGGGACCTAGGCTTTGGGCTCTGACAGAGCTGGGTTTGGTCCCATCCTGCTACCTGTTAATTCAAGGATGTTGTATGGGTGTTTTGTTCGGGTCTCAGCCTATCCATAACCAGTGTTATGGTTCTTATGATTGCAAGATACCCTCGGTAATAACCATCAGGCAACTTGAAGGGGAAAAGGGGTTTATTACTCACAGGTCCTGGAAAGGAGAAGGCATACCTGGGGCCACACAGCAAGGTCGAGGGTCAAGGGTAAAGAAAGAGAGAGAGAGGACCTGGGCCAGGGGTTCTGCTTTCCCTGGGATCAAGGGTGGGTGAGGGTGGGTGAGGGTGGGTGGCCTGTAGTTTTGCAGGCTTGCTCTTTATTGATGAATTTAAAACCTGAGAGAGAAAACAAGTGGCTTAAATGGTCAATTATAGAAATTCACCAAGATCTTTAAAACAAAGAAGCCTGGGGTGGAGGGCTGAGGGGGCGGGGAAGGCTGGTTCCTTATCTTTCTGTGGCTGGCAATGTGTTTATTCGAGATAGCCGTCCTTGAAGTAATGTCTTATTGAAGTGGATACCTTTGAAATCAAAGCTTAAATCAGGCACTTGAGTTACAAAAAATGCAAGTTACAACTGTCAGGGCTCACACAACAACTCGACACTTAAATTCTTTTTGTAATTACTTTTGGCAGTGCTGGCTCTGCTGAGCGCAGGCTTTCTCTAGTTGCGGTGAGTGGGATCTACTCTCTAGTTGTGGTGGCTTCTCTTGTTGCAGAGCACGGGCTTCAGAGCGCAGGCTCAGTAGATGGCAGCTTACGGGCATATGGAATCTTCCTGGACCAGGGATCAAACCTGTGTCTCCTGCATTGGCAGGTGGGTTCTTAACCACTGGACCACCAAGGAAGTCTGGCACTTAAATTCTTTATGCCTCAGTTTTCTGTAAAGGGGAGATGATGATAATATTAATATCTACCCAGAGGGTGATGGGTGAGGCATACTCCACATGTAGAAAATGCTTAAACAGTGCCTGGCACAGGGTAACTAATGAACAGAAGATATTGTTATGATCATGACTTTTGTTGGCAGAAGAATCAAGGGAGAGTTGTATCATGTAGCATATGGGAGGATATGATAAATAGTGTCCAGGAAGGTAAAAGCTGAAAAATATTGGGACTTCCCTGGTGGTCCAATGGTTAAGACTCTGAGCTTCCACTGCAGAGGCAACAAGTTCCATCCTTGGTCAGGGAATTAAAGTTCCCACATAACCTTTGGTGTGGCAAAAAAAAGGAGAAATATTCATTAGGTTTGGCAACATGAATGGAGGTCATTAATAAATAGACTTAAGAATAATAATTCCAGGGGTATTGTGGGTGGAAACTAGTTTGCCATGAATGAATGGGAGATAAGGAAGTACAGGCATCAGACTAGCAAAAGGAGCAATTGAACAGAAAAATGAGTCCAAGATCAAATTCCTGTTTCTGTGAGAATTTAGCATTTGTCATTAGCAAGGAAAAGAATGGACTATTCAAGAAAATGTGCTGGGAAAATAGGTCATCCATCAGGAAAAAATAAGATGAGACCCTCCCACACAAGTACCAGTCCCCAAAATAGATTCCAGTTGGATTAAAAACAATTTCTAAAAATATGAGGAGAAAACATAGGAGAATATTTTTGTAACTTTGGAGGGTAGAGAAGGCTTTTCTAGTTGTGATGCAAAATCCAGAAGTCAGAGAAGACTGACAGATTTAAATTCATTAAAAATTAAGCAAAACAAAACCTTTGTCTTGTGGATGAAAAATGTCACCTGCCTTATCAGTAAACAAAGGATGTTGCATCAAGGCAGCGGCCACTGAGACCACCCACAACAGTGCATTCCGAGGGGACTCAGGATGGATGGAGAAAAGCAGAATACTGGCCCTGGACAGTTAAGATGC